TGGGAGCGTGGGTTTTAGGCTGGGGAGATTCTTTCTAGAGGTTGTATCTAATAAACACAGCTGAACTGAATTTGCATTGTCTCTTGGAGTTCCTTGGGCTAGGCCTGACAAAACCTCAGTCTAATCTCCAGGTAGATTTGGTACGTGTACCTCATTGAATCACAGATATCAAAAATAAGGCGAGAGCATTTATCATACCTGTGTTTTGCTGATGGTTTCCTGCAAGTCTCCAGGCTTCACCGATCCCTTGTTCAAGTGAAACTCTTCCTTGTTCCTACAGTAGCAGTAATCTCTCTGCCTCTTCTAAAGGCATTACAGTAAAATATATTTTAAGTAAATAAAAGGTGCAGCCTTTATCACTCAACTAGGAGAGCATCTCAGAGGATATTAGCTTGCTGTCATGTGGGCCACTAGTACACTGAGACAGTATTGGTGCAAAATTTCCCCAATCATCGATGATGTTCTGTTAACTTCTTTTCATTATGATCCATCCGCAGGTGTATCATAGTGGAGACTAAGGGACAATAATCTTGAAGTTGGATTGACCCTCTGACCCTGCTGTGTCAGTTGCAAATACAACATGGAATGGGCTGATATAACTCTTTGCCTCCAGACACATCTGTTTTTCATTTAAAAAAAAAAAAAATCAGCTCCAGGAGATGTTGTCTGCTTACACCCTTTTGGAGAACTATTTCTTTTGAGTGGCCTGAAGCATCTCATGAACAGAGAACCTTTGTTTTGTTCAGAGATCATTGTCTCGTTGCCCTCTGCTTTTGCTCTGTCATTCCAAGACATTGCTCAGAGCTTCTTTCTCCTTCAGTATGGGATTTCAGCAATTGGAGAACATCTGGCAGATTTCACAATGCCAGTACAGGTTGCGCAGGATATCACTAAGGGCAACCAGGGCGACTGAGAGATCAGAGCAACATTGCAACCGAATTAGTCCTGTTGTGATCCCCACCAATTAAGAAAGGAGGAGAGAATATTTATTTATTCATTTATTTATTGTATTTATATAGCCACCCACCTCACACAAGGTGACTCTGGGTGGCATAGCCAGCGTTTTAGCCAGCGTTTATGGAGAGTAAACACTCCAATAATCTCAGAAAGGTTCCCCATTTCCAAATTTTTGGTGTGACTCTGGAGCATCATCTGATACTGATGGGAGAAATCAATTCCATCCACCCAGTGCACAGGCAGATGGCTTTCTAATAATAATAGCAGCATCAGCCTCGGTTGGAAAGAAGGTGATTCTGTTTTATTTCATGCAGATTTCATGCTTTCATTTCTTTGCAGTCTTGCGAAAGCCGCGTAGGCAAGAAAGGGAGTGCATGATACACAGACATTGACAGGGGAATAGCTTATAGCACTCCCAGCAACGCTGTCTTACCTTTGAGACTTCCCTTTTGAAAATGTCAGGCCATGTAACTTTCCCACAATACGAGCGCACGCACACACACACCTTTCTTTCCAAGTGTGCAGGATTCCCAGCAGAACCACCTTCTAGGCTTGTGGCGATGAGCCGACTTGGCTCAGAAAGTCACTGTTCCGTACCTGCATGAAATGTGTGAAGAGAAGATATTCCAGGCTAGCTGTGAGAATTTCATTAGGGTCCTTCAGTCTGCTCTGCTCCTGGGTGTGGTGTTACAAATGGACTGCCAAACAGATGGGTTGAGAAATACACAACCCATCTGTCTTTATCATGCTCATTTCCTCCTTTATTAAAATGTTAATGAATATAGTTTTTATTTATTATGCCGTGACACATGCAGTGTCACTCTTTGGTGGAGAAATGTTCAATCAGCTTAACTATGTGGACACAGAAGGAAGCTGCTTTTCTTTCCCGGATGGAAACCGATCTCCTCTTAAGCTAGGTAAGAGAACTGCTGCCAAGTCAAGCTGAATTGAGAAGCTGAGGGATCTAAAAACTCTGGTTAAAGAAGTTAGAAGAAAGTTGTGATCATTTTCTATCAATTCATGTGCACTCAGGATTTGAGTCCCATGTAGGCCGTGATCAAACTGCTACCTAACAAGATGCACAGGGCAAACAAAACATAAGATGGGGATTGATCTCAGGGAAGGATCTATACATATATGTACTTTCACATGCACATGTGCACTTACACACGCAGTTTTAACCCACCTTTCAATCTTGTTAACACCCCAAAAAGGAATAAAGTAACTGTGATGGAAAAGGGCTATGGAAGGGGGGTAGAAGAGATACTTCAGTGGGCTTGGAGTGGGATGTGAAGAGGGGGGCGGTGTCCCCTGGACATGTATTCTGGAAGTGAGATGGTTTTAAGTAAATATTCTAGGAGTGAGATTACAGGGGTTAATGGTATTAGCTTTTGACAAGAGGAGATTATAAGGGCAGTTTTCATTTCACTCTTGTAAAACTCAACTATGCTTTATAGCATGAATCCACAAGGCAGATAAAAATGAGTGTTTCAGCTGTGTAATCATCTCAGATGGTTTGGTGTGAGAGAGTGCATAGCTTTGCTTTTGGCCCAAAGGAGGCAGGAGTGTGTCATGTACAGGAATAATGGGCAAATTATCCCATTGCCCTGTTAGTAACTTACGATGTCTTCATCCAACACCATGTGCAGTAATTATAAACACTGCCTTATTTTGGCAAAAACAGTTTTGGTTGGATGTCTTTAGAAGAACCTGTAAGACACTGATGAAAAGAAATGACCTTGGCCTTTAGGAAAACTTTCTTTATCTGCACAAAAATTCAGGTATTTGACAGAAACTCTTGAAAGTTAAGTGGCATCAAACCACTTTGTGCTTATAATGTACATAGAAGAACACTTCTATCATTAAGAGGTAATGTGAGCAAACAGCTTTAAGAAGATTAAGGTTCTTCAACTTAGAAAAGAACAGCTAATGGAGGATTGGATGGGACATAAGGAATAATTGTAAAGTGGATTAAAAGATAAATTTTAATTGAATTTTAATCTGTTACTTTATGTGAAGATGTTTATTGCTGATGATGGCATTTTTATAAACACTTCTCTAAGCAAAGAGGGGAAGACAGTTTTTCCAAAAGTAATATATATATCAGTTGTTAAGTCAAGCCTGTTACATTCAATGAATATTGTTGAAGTGTCCTCCATTACATTATTTTAAGCAGCTAAGCAGCTGATCAATTGGTTGAAGGTAGACTATTAATTGACTAACAATCCACTCCCAAGAGTGTTTACTTGCAAGCAAGATGCATTGATTTGAATTGAGCTTGTATCTTCTCAGTCAATACATTTAGGATTGGGGTGTAACTGCTCTGTCTTTATGGTAATAAAGCTAGGACCAGTGAGGGTAAATCACTTTGACAAGAACCCTGTCTTAATAGGTTTATGGATTGAGTTGGAAAAATCTTTGATCTGTTGATAGCTCTAATTTAGAAATCGTGAATAGGGGAATTCCTGTTTCTCTTTGAATACTTTCAAGCTTTCCTCCGAGATACTTGGTGCCATACAATGTACTGGTAGGGTTGAAGTAAAAAGTTAAGTGTATCATTGGAAAATAGCAGTGCCAACTGGGGTAAGGGAGGGGGCTGGGGAACTAAGTTGTACGCCACCCAGAGTCACCTCTTGTAAGATGGGTGGCCGTATTCATTCATTCATTCTTAGCTGTTGATTTTCTGGGAGTCATCCAGAACTGACATTTGGACAGAGGAACACTACTAGATTAATCACATACTGGAGCTGCATTAACGATAGAAACTCTCTTTCTCTCCACTAGATTCTCCCTGGAAAGTTCATCTCTCCAATATCGATCCAAAGCTGACCAGCATCACTGTGAGCGGGTTAACACCAGCCCGTACCTACCAGTTTAGAGTGTGTGCTGTTAACCAAGTGGGCAAAGGCCAGTACAGCCTAGAAACCAGCAGGTTCGCTGAAATGAAATCTCTTGATAAATGCCAGGTTGATTATATTTCTTTGGGTATCTATGATTTGTCCAGTGAGAGCTGTAGAAACAACAGCCACAACTGTAGATACAGTCAGCATATCTTGATTTTCCTAGTCATTTGTTCTCCAAGAACTAATATGATCTGAAAGGTTTAAACAAAAAAGGTTGTTCCATCGCTCAACGTTGCTATTTCAGCATGTGTATACGAGAAAGATGTGATGGGCACTTGAAAGAGATAAGGCATCAACACAGATTATGATGTAAGATAAAGGTAGCCACGTCCTTTGGCTATCTCTGGAAATTCCTCCCCAACATCTCCCCTAACTTTCTGAATTTCTTTTTGAGAGTTTAGATGATGATAAACATCCTGCTTCATGCTCCACATTCTCTCTGAACTTGGGTGGATTTTCAGGGAAGTTGGCTCTCTGAGGCTTCATATGCCAAGATGAGTGCAGCATAAACAGAGAAATTACTTTAAATCTCTCTTAAATGACTTTAAATTTTATTTTATCATCTGTGAAACAGCTACAGTGCATTGGTTGTTCCCTACTGGAATCCCATCGGATAAGCCATAAAAGCACAGCTCTACCACATCTGATTAAAATGCATCACTACTATTACTCAAAGCAGAAGGGGACTAGGGACTTTGAACTGAAGAAGTTTTGTAAGCATTTTACCTTTGGTGAGGCTGAGGGGGAAGAACTGAATGAGCCAATTTGATCAGAATTACAGATTCTGAGCCAGTGTATGAACTCATTCAGGCTTGCAGTCTTGATCATGGCAAGCTGGATACCTGAGATAGAATAAGCTTACCAACAACAGCTGTTTCCTGTATTGCTTAACTGATTTTCTATTACGTTGATTTGTTACAACTATTTCGAGCATGTCTACAGCAACTGAGCTTTGCTGCTTTCTAGTTAGCCCTCTGTGAAAAAAATAAGATTGTTTCTAAGTAAAGACATAAGCGAAGATCTGGTTGTCATTTTGCTTCATTTTTCTTGTACTCAGGTTAATGTTACCAGAAGAACCTCCAAGCGCTGCACCAAAAAACATTGTGGCTAGTGGGCGGACTAATCAGTCTATTATGGTCCAGTGGCAACCTCCTCCCGAAAGTGAACATAATGGTGTTCTCCATGGTTATATCATAAGGTAAAAGGCCCTTTACTTACCTTGAAAGGCTGAAGCAATTGACTCAGTTTGCTTGTCACACCAAACCAGTTTTTAACAATGGCTTGTTGGACACTTACAGCGCATTGAGCCAAAACCAAAGAAACCACATTATGGCTTGGCATGTGATGTAAATCTAGTCTAACAATTTTAATAAGGAAGGTAGCGCTTCCCCCTCAAACTGAAGAGCCTTGGTCTCCGCTGGCAGACAAGAGCTGTGTCTTACCCAATGATGATTTGTTTGAAAAAGGAGCTATACCTTGAGGGAAGAAGTCCCAGTGTTCCTGTCTCCCAGGTGATTGATCAGCCGGTTTTGCTTCCTTTGATTCTATAGAATCAAAACGTCGCTCATTAACATTTTAACCCCCAAAGGACACACTGTGGGTGAGCAGCGTCTACCCCTCAGCCAATTCTTGACTGATGGAGAGCAGGCCGCCCACTTTCCTTCCATCTCTTTGTGCTTTCATCTCAGCTCCAGTGCAGGATGATGTCAGTGTCTTGCTCGTTTCTGGCAGCATCAGCTGTCAGCTGTGCTTCTCCCCTTCCCTTGTTCCCCGCAGTGGTCTTCACTGAAGCATGCAGCTAGGAATTTGACAGACTCTTGGTGCCTATTTAAAACCCCCTGAATTGCAAAGTGTTGTGTGTGTTTGTCAGGCTTGGACATTGTAAGGCCCTCTGTAAGGCCCTTTCTCTTGTCCAACTGCTGTAGCACCTTGAAGGGATTCTGAACCTCATGGCTGAGAAGAATGGGAAGAACCCAAGCAGGCTCAACATTTCCAAACTGGTCCTCTCCTGCTCCCTTTTCTTAGAAGGGTTCAGCACTAAATTAGCTATTCTGTTGCAGGAACTCTCCACCCTTTGCCTGCTTTGGGTAAAACAAAGAGAACAGCAAATTTAGTCGTTTGGATGCAGTGGAAGAGCATTAGAAGGACTGTTTGTTGCCACAGCTAATCCTGTTAGTAGCCTGAACTGGCAAACTCTTAATCACTTACAGCCTCTTCAGAGTTTTCCATCAACTCTTTCACTTCCAAGGAAGCCCTATTGCTTCCGTGATTGTTAGTATTTTGCTTTCAGCATGCATCCTGGTGATAGTTTGATCACATCCAGTTCTCCATTTTAGGGGGCAAAGTCTAAGGAATAAACAAGGAAACTGATTTACAGCTGCAGCCTGATAAAGTATAATATTTAAGTGTGTCAGAGAGGAGGGAGGAAGCAAAGGGACGTTGGACACTAAATCAACATTTTTATTAGACAGGCTGTAATTTTTTTCTTCCTACAGCCATAAAACAGGATAAAACACAAGTTTTGGTTTAGTCCCGGACATGTATTCACAATGAGATCAGAATATAAGTATTTTGGCAGTCAGATGAGAATCATTGTAATTCTGTCTTTGCAAATGTTTACATGTTTTACTAATACTGTTACTAATAATTCATTAATACCACTATTATGAATAGTTCTTGCTGTGTAGTGATAATGATGGTGTTTGGATAGTTAATCCCATCTCCCCCACAAATATGGCTTAATTTTTCCTTGTCCAGCAGAATAAAGCGAGGTTTCCAAAGTAGCAGAAGAGCTGTCCAACTAGAGAATCCCATTGGATTAAGAGTGAATAAAAAAACACTCGGTTCAGCAATCTTTAAGCACCAGCTGAAGCCACCCTATCAGCAACTTTTGGTTGAGTCCATATTGGTTCTGGCTTGTTCACATAATTAGGGCTTAGGAAAAGGAAGAGAAGGAAGCCTCCTGATTCCAGAGAGCCACTGTACTTTTAGGTCTGGGCCTCCATTCAAGGCTTTTCCAAAACTGACTTTGTCTGGGGGATGGGGTCAATGTCAGAATGCACTTGATCTGTAGTTGTTGGTTTTGAGGTTAGTAATCTTAGAAGGGAGATGTTGCAACCACCCATCACCATTGCCTAGGAGCCTAACCAGTGGGTTTGCTTTAGTTGAAACTGGTTGCAACAAATAATCATTTCTCTGTATAGATATCGCTTAGCAGGCCTTCCTGGGGAGTATCAATTCAAGAACATAACCAGCGCAGAGATAAACTACTGCTTGATCAAAGACCTGATCATCTGGACTCAGTATGAAATCCAGGTGGCATCTTATAATGGAGCCGGTCTGGGGGCCTTTAGCAGAGCAGTCACTGAATACACATTGCAAGGAGGTGAGTAGTTGTCTGCCAAACTATCAGGGGCTTTGAAATGGCCTCGATGAGGGGTTCTATTGGTATACTAGAGTTGTGTCTGTTGGCTTGTGTGGGTAGGTGTGTGTGAATGGAGGGGATATTTCCTCAATGTAAGAAATGATAATGGGTTTCTTTTGTGGGCAAAGAAATAAGAGATAACATCTCCCAATCTAGGGGGAGTTATATAGTAGATTAGGCCAATTGTGATTAATATAAGAAAGTGAGACTGAGAGAAAGATGTTTTCTTCTTGAGTGCTGAAGCAAGATCTAAAGTTATATGGTTTTAAGATCCAAGAGGTTTGCCAAGGTTCAAAGATGTGTCAAGGGTGAAGCATAGGCAACTGCCCAAAATGAAGTAGAGTAGGGTTCAGGAGATGCTGAACCATGAGAGCCCAACTGAAAACTGATCAGAGCTGAAAATCTATTGCTCAGGCTTATCAGTCTCTCCATTCAGAACAATCCAGTGACCCACTGGGAGGGTAGGCCGATCTTGAAAAGCCTTCATTGTGCAGGGAGAAGCTCCACACAGCTATTGTGATTGTTCACCCTGCAGAGTGATCACACTCAAGAACCAGACTTCAGTCCTAGGTCCAGTTCGGACAAAAGAATATTTCCCTGCAGAAAGGAGATTGCAAAAGGAAATATTAAGAGTCCATGGAATCTTTTGAGGCTCACTGCTCCTCAGTTCCTTTTCAGCTTTGTTATCAAAAGCATCTTGGAGCCATTGCTGTTTTTGCTGAAGATCCCAAACTGCAGGTCAATGCTGAATTTTGAGCAGTAGAGTGTGTTCCAGTCTTTGCTTTAGTGGGCTGTAAAAAGCAAGCAAGCTATAAAAACCTTCCATTTGAGATACAGTGCATCCGTTACTTCACAATCATTATCAATTTTGTTCCCTGGGAATAGAAGGACAATATTACTGTAAAGTTAAATACAGTTTACTTTGCAAGAAGGTTTTTATTTCTACATTTTGATTAGAGGTGAGAGAGGGAAATGCAGTTGCTCTGATGAAAATATCAGAAATGCACTGGAAATTATTCAATGCATTATTAATGCACTTGGTAGACCATCTTTTTTCATGCATTGTTTTGCCTGCTAAGAAATGGGATGAATCGAAATGCATTAAAATCCCAACTTCAGCAGATAAACAATGCTTGTGTGCATCATCCTTAGAAAGCTATTAAGATAAATGAAATTGCACAAAGTAAATGAGCAAAGTTGTGCTGCTTCTTTTTTGTGGCTTGCAGATCAAGAAGATCTGGAGCTAAGCTTCACAATGGACGAGAATGTCCAATTCTTCTCTGAGAAACTCTGGCCAGAGAAATGCATTCTGCACCCATAGTGTGCTGATCTAAAAGAGAGTTAGCTTAATGCTTGAAACGCCCAAAAATACCTGTCCCTCCCTGCCCCAAGATGGTTTTTCAGTACAGTGTTTAGTTTTCCTAGTATTCTGGGAGAGAAACCACTCCAAATTAAACAGTCTGTGACTGCTGGTTCTTGTGTCCATGTTTCATGAGCTCTGTACCGAGAAGAATATTATCTCAATGCTCATTATATTTAAACATTCCAAGCTTAAGCCATCCCTAAATTGATTTTGGTATAGCTTTCCCAAAGGATTCTCCTGTATGTTACAGTAGTTTTGTTGAGCCTTTTGTAGCAAAGACAACAACTGTCTTCAAAGACCCATACTTCCTAGATTCCATGGAAAGAGTAAAGCAGGTGGCTGAAGATTACTGGTTGTGCGAAAAGAGGCAGGCATAGTGGTTTCTTCTTGAGACCAGAATACAGGGGACTGGATGAAATGGTAGAGACATTCTATTCTGCTATTCCCCTGAGGGAAACCATTCTTCTATTGCAGCTAGTTATGCATTTCTGATTTACAGCCCTGAACAATCCTGCAGATTAGAAAGACAGTTCCATAGACATTTTCATGCTTAGAATATAGGTCTAAATATCAGCATGCTACATTTTAAACCAGTATTCCACAAGAAGAACCGAATCGTGAGAAGGTTGGCAGGTAGGCAATCCAAAGACTTTGCCATGCTGAGAAATAGAAACTATAAAGACAGACCACCCAGAACTCCTTAAAGCCAGATGCAGCTCCCTCCATCACCCAAGAGCATGTCCTTGAAGGTGGCTGGAAATGTCGATCCTGTCCCTACCAATGACATCATCGTACCACTGGATGGCTGCTGTGGATGAAAGGCTGAGATGGGACTTTTGAACTCTCAGATGTTGCCTACTGCTCAAACCTTCATTAAGTCTTTACCATCCAGATGCTCTCCTGTTTAGCCTTTGCTTCTCCTCTTTTCCCCATAGCCTTCCATTTAGTGGCTCTCACCCCACACTACCTTTTGGACTTTCTAAGAGCACTTTTAGAATGCCACGTTTTAGCATGGAATGCAAGTCGTTGGATCTTAATATATTGCCAGATAAGCAAAGTATAATGGAGTATAGGAAGTGGAGTATGTACAGAAGTATAGTGGGAAGCCCTATAGTGCTAGCTTTGCTCTGAGAAAGTAACAAGTTGCTCAAATTTTTCTGAAGACGCTGAAAATGACACGTTCTCAGGGAAGTGGTTCTGGGCTGGTTTGGAACAGCCTACGTAGTGATGGAAAGAGCTACCTCTGTGAGTGGTATAAGAGCAGGCATTACATGGGCTACCTCAGTGCCATGTATGCAGAATCCTAGATTGGGATCAGCATCTTTATACTGAAGAAAAAAATTGAAGTTAGTTTCCACTATAGAATTACAGGTAGCCCTCAGGTTACGATGGCAATTGGGACTCCGTTGATAAGCAACACAGTCTTAAAGCACAATGTCACATGACCGCATCGCTTAGCAATGGCAATTCTGCAATCCCAGTTGCTGTCATTAAATGAGGACCTCACACGATCACAACTTCCAACTTCCTACCAGCTTCTCCATTGACTTTGCTTGCTGCAATGTCATAATCGCAAATCAGGTGCTGAGCACCTGGATCACGTGACTGCAGGAACACTGTGATGGCCAGAACTCTGAGGACTCATTGTAAGTCCTCCTCATTCAGCACTGTTGTAAATTTGAATGGTCGCTGAACAAATGGTCGTAACCCGAGGACTACCTGTAAGCAGTGGCATAAGTTAAGATTTGTAGAGTTCTTCTGATTTGCAGTTAAGATGTTATCATTCCCCTTGTGGCAGTTATTCTGCAAGTAATTTATTCTGGGTTCAAGGCCACCCCCATACCACTGAAACAAAACCCTTTCCACTTTAAAATAAATAAAAGGGGAAAGCTTTAGCACTAACCAAGCCAGATATCTGTGAACAATATTAATAAATGCTTCCTTATTGTTGGTTTCCCAAAATAAGGGTAATGTAAAGAAGTCCTATGTTTGTGTTTTCCATTGCTAGGCTAGGGAACAGCACTAATGGAGATTTCTGACATGGGTGCCTAAATTACCTGATTGCTCTGAAGTTTGCGCATTTTAACTTGGATAGGAAGGAGAGCTACAGTGCCTCAGGTGACTAATGGTGGGACTGAGAAGCTTTCTGCTGCCCTGGATGAGTCAGAGAGTGGGATCATGACTCCGCAGATGTGGAGGTCAGGAGAAGTTGCCCCGTGGGCCTGTCCCATGTCCTCATCCATGGGGGTCTCTGATGGGATGCTTCCTTACAAAGCTTTCATCCGCCATCTGGGGTGGTTTCCCACCTAGTTCCCCCAGACCCTTCTTGTCATCAATCCCATCCTCTGGCAAATGGGGAGTTTGGATCCTCACCCATGGTGTTCACAATACAGGTAGTCCCCAATTTTAGAACGAGTTCTGTTCCTGAGGTCTGTCTTTAAGTCAAATTTATAGGTAAGTCAGAACAGTATTATTGTATAGTACTGTATAAGTAGTATTGTGTAATTAATCGAACCATTGTGTATTTAACTCAAATCATTGCATATTTAACTCGAATTTTGCTACAGTAGCCTCCATTCTTAACTATGGGTTGTCCATAAACCGGGCATTCTTAACCTGGGGACTACCTGTACTTCAGCAATAGGACAAAGGGACTGAAAGTTATAAGAGGTTATATGAAGGATATACAGCTTTAATACTACTTTGAGAATCATGAAGAGCTTTATTAAGTTAATGAGAGTTAATATCCCATACCTTTTTGAAAGGCTTCCTGGGAATGGCAGACCTCATTAGAGGTGAGGATCATCAAGGGACTCCAGAAAGTCTTGTGAAGATAAGTCATATATGTTGTAACTCCAGGAATCACATCAGGTTGTGGAATTAAAGGGATTAATGGTTTCTATTATGGTCCTCTTGTATAACCAAAGCTCATCCCCCTTTTGGCAATACAAGAACTAGTGAAGATGCTAATATCAGTGAGAAATCTTGATTGCTAATGGCATACAGACTGTCTTAACTTAACTTTTCCCTTGCATATCAGATTGCACAGATACCTCCCATCAGAAAAACGAACAAAAGTATTTTTAAAAAAACATGTTTGAATACCTTATTGAGGGTTTGTTCTCAGGCTTCTGGTATTAGGAGAATTAGCAGCCCAAATAAATGGATAAAATTAGGTTTCTGTATTTTTCTCATTTGGAGAGAATATCTACTAAGAGCTGCTTTGGTGAAGCTCCATTCCTCAGTAGCGGACCACAGTACTCGCTATATTCTTTAAAAAGACAAAAACCAAAAATGAATAAGTAAAAGGTAAATTTACAGATCCTAATATCCTTTAATTGCTTCTGGTACATCCATTTCAGTTTGCAAATGAAGAGCTGTATAAAATACAATTCCGGATGTCCAGCATACGTAACAGCCAGCATTTAGCATATCTCTTGTTTAAAATTGTATACTTTGTTCTATAATCTGTGCACCCTCACTTGGGAGTAAGCCCAGTTGACAACAGGAGGAGAAGACTCTGAATTCCTTAATAAAAGAGAACATTCTCTACTGTACTCCATTATGGATCTTTATTCCATAAGATGTTGTCTTGATGTCTCTTCTCCTTCCCCAATTTTCTTCTCCTGCCATTATTATCAAATAGAGGGAAGCATAACATTTCATTTATGCTGTGGGAGTTTTTTTCTGTTTGAAACTGCAGAGTCCCATCACACCCATGGATAATTAAGAGAAAGGATTCACCCATCATTATTAGTGATTCTGTCTTGGGGAAAAGCTTGTCGGTGGAATAATAAAGCCACAAGAACCATTTCATCTCTTGCTCTGTCCACTGAGGGATTCCCACCTAACAGAAAATGAAAAATAACCCAATTAACTTTCTTTTTAAGTCACTACTGAATATCAGGAACATAAATCACAAGTCTCTTTTCCACACCACTGTTATATCCTTTGAATTGTGAGTGGTGGCCAAGGATTTAGTTTTTCTTTTTTGACTTGCTTCTCCTCTGTTTCTACCCGCCTGCCCGCCCGCCTGCCTACCCGCCATTTCGCATTGTCATCTTCCGGCTGGTGCTGCTCAGTGCCCACTGCACCACCTCAGAACGTCCAGGCAGAAGCAGTGAACTCAACCACCATCCAGTTCTTCTGGAACCCTCCTCCACAACAATTCATCAACGGGATCAACCAGGGATACAAGGTGTGAATTAATCCATATTAGAGCTGGCTCCATGGATCTCAGGAATGAAAGTGCCATCCCACAAACTTGGATCTATTATGGGGGCCAAGTTCATTATGCCCTTGCTATGAAACGTGTGGTGGGTGGATGACAAGAAACAGGGTCCTCGCAACAGGGTACTGTTGAATGCTCACCTTAATCCTTTTTGGCACCATTACCTGAAAGGGGAATACAGCTGAATCAGAGCCCCCTCATTTCAATTATTAGCACCAATCTCTTTCAAAACAAAAATGTCCAAATCATAAGGCTGTTTTCAGAACTTGTTTTTATATTCAATTTTTGTTTAAACGGCAATTCTCTTAGAAAATGTACAAAGTAATTCACAGGTTGATTTGCACTTGTCAGGAGGTACTGAAATCCGGGCTTTTAACTGTCAAGATTCCTTTTTACCTTCTCTTTCCTTCCTTTTTCATCTCTTTTCTTTAATGTCTTTAGACTGAAACAGCTGTGCAGATCCTATTTATTTTATCGGCTGGATTTTTAAAGCACCATCATACGGACAGTTGCTGGGAGGACATTTCTATCATATTTTCATGTAGCACATAATTTGCGTAATGATTCATAAATTGCCAGTAGTCAACATTTCATGTGTTTGCTTGCCCAGCTGGTGCCACCCATTGTATATTTTCCATGGCAAAAGCACTCAGCTTCTTTTTATGGAACTGTAGAATATTCACCTCTTTCGGAAGCAAAGAAATGTAAAAGCCCGTTGGTGACCCATTTCTACATTTTCAGTCTGCTTCGTAGATATAGTTTAGAATTTGGGATATAATTCTATTTGCCATTATGAATTGGAAGGTGGGGTTGTTTTGTTTTACTTCTGGAACTTGCTTGGCTTCCATGTTAGCCTTTCGCCAAGGATGTGACCACACCACAGCTGGAAAAATACAGGGAGCAGCATCCTTTTTTGGCCAGTGCCGAGAGCCCATTGGGTTGAGGTCCTTGGCCTGCAAACTCTATCTGGTTTCTATATGGATGGCTTATGGTTGAGAGTAGCATTGGAAAGGTCCTCCAGCTGAGGTTTAGCAGTTGCTCCACTTCCACGCCAATGATCCTGTGGGCTTATCATTCGCTCCCTGCTGTCAAGTCTTCCAGAGGCTTTGGCCCAATGAATTGCATTGATTGGCACAATCCTCTTTTCCCGAATGGATTAGGCGCCCAGGACTTAGGCGCGCTAAACTGGGAATATTGTAATACGAAGTGCTTGCACCCTTGAGGGCATAGCATTGTGGTTGCAAGCGATAGCGTTTTTCTAGCCAAAACTTCTGCTGCAGGCCCCTCAGTAGCTCAGCCTGGTTGCAGACAACATAGTGAGGCAAAAACAAATCAATCACAGTTAAGTCAAAGTGGGATGTGGGCAACGGAGCTCACACTTGTCTTCTGTTCTCTGTAAGTCTGCCATGGTAGTTTATTGTATACTGTAGCTAGCTTATTAAGTAGCATTATATAAGTCTCTGTAGAAGGGATTTTAATCCAGACACAAACAGGGTTTTCCCCAGACAACGGAAGAAATGGAGAGAGCTGTTCTTAAGAGGCAACACACAATATTAAGGCAAATACTTCAACCTTGACTCAGAGAGTTGAAAAGGGGAACTTAGATCACAGAGTCCAGTGCACTACACAGTGCATGACTCCACACTTCAGTCTGCTTCAGCTCATGGGCCTAGTTTCCTTCACGTTAACACCATATCTCCGAGGCATCTCTTTCACCCGGACCATTTGTGTGACCACCTTCCTCCTTTCATTAATCCTTTTCTTTTCTAACCCCTGAATGGTTTCCTTTGCTGACATAGGCTCTTATTTTCTTGACGTTTCTGTGATTATTCATACCACTGTTAAGCAGAAAGGGGGGCTTTGTCATGGTTCTGTAAATCCTTAAAAATAGCTTTAAGCTCTTCAGGGGCGGGGGGTTGCTCTCTGTGCCTTGCAAACCCCATAACACAGTAAACCTGTCCATGCGGACTTGTTGGTGTCCAGCTACATTAATAGGGGTATCTCTGCTTTTGTAACCAGTGGATGGGCGCTATCCCTAAAATAATTTCATCCCTTTTTGAATCCATCATTCCCCTGTCTAGCTCTTGGCGTGGCCAGTTGATGTGCCAGATGCTAAGACCACAGTCACCATTCCTCCAGATTTTCATGGCGTCCACAGTGGATACATAACCAACCTGAAGAAATTTACTGCTTACTACACATCGATCCTTTGCTTCACCACCCCAGGGGATGGGCCGCGGAGTCCACCACAGCTACTGAAGACTCATGAAGACAGTAAGTAGGGCCAACCGCTTTTTACAAAGTCTAGAGTCAGACAGGGATGTGTCTGACAGGCAAATAGTCCAGCCTGGCGGTCGATGCAGTTTGTCCAGAGCAAGAGCTCTGCCAAAAAGTGGTTCTCCAGCATTTGCTTAAAGACTTCTGATTTGGGACAGAATGCTATTTAACCAATAGTCTCCAGTGCTGAATGGCTTACTACGGAGGCATTTTTCCTAAGGTTCATTCTCTGCAACTGAAAGCCCATTCAATCTAGTCCTGTCCCCTGAGGCAGCAGAGAGCGAATGTTTGCTTTCTTAAATGCATCAGCTTTTCAGATATTTACAGAGTACCCCTTTAGCTATGTCTTCTACAACCTAAGTGTGTCCAGTTCCTTCAATCTTCCCTCTTAGGACTTTTTTTTTTCTGTGCCAGTGACTATCTTCATAGCCATCCTCTGAGATTGTTCTATTTTTCTACAAGATACTTAGCCTGCCGATGAACAAGGTTTATGGCCTTCCTAATTAGGTTAAAACCATTCATCAGTTTGATTAACCTGTGCAAAGGATCGCTGCAGATTTGAAAAAAAAAGTCTTATCAAGGGGAGCTGTTCCATGTTGGAAGAGAATTTGCTGCAGAGTTATAAATAATGTATAGTTCTGTCTTGTGGGGATTGTTTTGTAAATTGTTGAACCCTATTAATGGTTACCTCGCTTCTAAGAATCAACTGTGATTAAGACATTGTGTTACTTATGTTAACAGACCAATGAATGGCTAAATCAGAGAGCCATTAGACAATGAAGTTTCTGTTTGTCCATCCTTTACAGTATAGATGCTGTGATGTCTTGCTGGGGATAGGGAGAGAGATATGCCTGAAAAAATGTGGCGTTCAGATGTTTTTCCTCCTCCAACTTCCTAGATGTTTGGGGTTCAGGTCCACAATGGATTGCTGAAAATCAGGAAGAGTGGGTCTGGACAGAGTCTGATGGAGACACTGTTTGAGGACCCATTAAAGGCAGCCCTGAGTTTTGCTGACATATACAGATGAGATAAATGAATAACCAGGTTGAATTATTGATTAATATTAACAGAGGAAAAAGAACGTTATACCCTTCAAAGAAGATATTGAAACATCAAGAGTGCAACTCCCCCACATTTCGGAAATTGTAGGGCTTCCTCTGGAGGATTTGGGCAGCCTGATTATAAAAATCCAGGTTGGAACATTTCACCAACCAGATACCCCTGGGCATAACATTCTGAGGTCTAGTCCTGTCCAATCCACATTGAGTTATAGCAGCATTTCTAGCTGATCTTGGTATATTTCACAAGCTTTTATGCTTTCCTGCATTTGTCACACAATAGCCTTGCAGCTTGCCAATGGGAAAGCCCTAGGAGGGAAACATACACGGAACACGTCTAGTATATATCTTATTTTATATTTTGTTTGAGACACTGGAAAATACAAAACTTTGGTAGGACGAATCATGCTGTCTGCCTGTCAACACACACAAGATTTGCAATCGCAGTGGGCATAAACCACAGGAATTCTTGTCTATGTACGTTCCAGAATGTAACTCATTCTTTTGTTCATTCATGAAAGTTGGGGGGGGGGATAATTAATGCCTCCCTCATCAAGACATCAGTCAGCCTCCTTGTCTGGGTTCTCACAACCCACTTAGCAAGGACGATGAAGGACCTAATTGCTACATTTGCGCCACATTAATATATGTGGCTTGTTTTGATCTTGGTTGGTTTTCTTATAAGCAAGACCAACACTTTTTGTGAGTTTCTAATCCATTCTATTGTGAAAACCCAGAAATGGATTAATTCAATAACCAAATAATGTGTATTGTGTCAATACAGTCTCAGTGTGGCTTAACAGGGGTTTTTCCCCCCCTAAAAAAAGCAATAAACAGGCAAAAAGAAGAAAACTAAAGAAAGATTAATAATAAAGAGTCAGAATGTCTGAGAAGCCTGGGCAAATCAGATGCCTTCATATACTGCTAAAACAGGGAAGGGTATTTGAATAATTGAAACAATTATTCTGTGTCCAGTTATCCCCTATTTCATCTCTTAAAATTCTGATCTGGAATGGGATGAATGCTCTCTCCCTCAAACAGATGGCCCCCTTACTAGGAATTTGCAGATCTTCCAAGGATGGCTTCACTTCACAAGGGCTTCAGTCAGTGCCCTTTTAAAACCAAGCTGTATCCACATCAGTTCCTCACAGCAGAATGGCCCTGCTTCTTCACTTGGATTGACAATAAAGGTGTTTGGGCATGCAAAAATGCACTGAAGTTCTTGTTAGCAAAACAAAGGGTCTGCTCAAGCTTTAAGCTTTCCCATGTTGAGATGGAGCACCTTACATCCGTGAGGCGAAGAGTTTTGGCTAAGCAGATCACAGCCTAGGCACGCAGATCCACCACCTACCGATCCAACTCCATCTTGGCAGCATTGTGCTTCCGGAAGAGAAGCCCTGCTCTGCGGCTTCCACCGGTTGAAAGTAGCATGCTCATGAACATTTCTTCCTGGAGGGCGCCCAAGAAATGTCAGTCTGGCAGCTGGCTGCAAGGACAGGTCTTCTTCTCCCTGTCTGGTTTCTGGGCTGTGCTAGGTTCCCTTGAGGGTACCTATTCAACCAACATAGAAATGGAATACTTGGCGCCACGTTCAGAATGAAAGGAACCTGCTCAGTCCTATTAGAAACAAAACCATGTCAAGAGAGAGCTTGAAATGCACCCTTCTCTGCAACGGAATCATCTTTCTTCAAAAGAACTGGGGGTAGCTTGGGGAGGGGCGTTCATTGTTTTGCCAGGCCTAGCTTACAAAGCACCTCCCTTTCCCTTGGTGCTGTTGAGAGAAATCCAGGCAGCGGAGGAGATAGCGATGATGTATTTATTTCCTGGCCTCACATCTGTCAGCTGGCCTTGCAAGCCAAGGAGTTCTGATGCCAAAAGCATCAAAACTGGCCGTAGGAGTCCAACTGAGGGCTACCTCTGAACCCAGAGGGGCGAGACTGTCTCTTGCCAGAACCTTTCCATGCTGGTTTACAGCAGTATAGCTGCTGGACATTTGCAAAAGCTGCTTAATTTTAAATGTGTTTACTGGAATCCAGAATGGCAACGCTGAATGGTGGCTCTGGATTACTTACTTCAGACGTAATCTGATTTGAAGGCTTCAGAAATTCCACTGACGCACATTAAGCCAGCACAACTGATCTGGCATTTTCGACATACATACATCTAGCATGGCTCCAAGCCAGTTATTCTTGGCTACTGCTGGGTTTGTTTTGTTGCTTGCCAGCTGGGCAAGAGGTTCGTCCCCTCCCTCTCTCTCCCTCTCTTTCTCTTCAGCAGGCAGTTATAGCAGGTAAGAAAAAAAAAATGGTGCTTAATGGAAGACACATGCTTTGCCTGGTTTAATCCCGTGGCATCTCAGGTTCAAGGTTTTGGATAAAAGGGATGGGGAAGATCTCCACCAAAGAAGTTTGGAGACCTACTGCCAGTCAGCACTGAGAATCTGGGTTAAAAGGACCTATAGGAGAGACAACCTGTGGCAATGCTTTGATGTGGTATTCTGGTGTCCTGTCTTGAACTCAGAAGATCCTTGTGCTCCAGAAGCACCAGGCTAGACAGGAAGGCCTTCATTCCACCCTTTGCACCAGCCTTCTTCTTCCAATAGGCAATATGGCAAATTAAAGCTTCCAGGTCCATCACGTTCTCTACTTCATTGCTCAGTGTCATCCCTGTGGACCAGCAAGGGGAATGTTCAGCCTCTTGCTTGCTGTGTTGAATCTCTTGGAATTCTGGAGTGCTTTTGATATCATTGTCTATAGTATTCTTCTGTATAAGTATTAGGGATGAGAAAAAGGAGTACCATGTTGTGATTTTACTCTTTAGGCGAAGATTTTCTGAACTACTGCTCAATTCCCTGCTGTTTATACTGTGATTCCACCTCTCTTTCTTTGGACTTTCCTGCTGGTACATCCTTTTGATGGCCATTTCAATGCCTTATATGGCTGCTTTGAACAACTTCCAATAGCTGGATGGTCATATTTGGCTTTTTATGACATGTTGAGAGATATACTGCAAAAATGTGTTGGGCCAGGGCCTCTGTGGTAAGGAGGGATGTTTTAAGGGATGACATGGATGCCTTAACATGTGCAAAGCTTAAGGCTCCAATTTTGCTCCCTAATACTCTCTCTCCCCAAAATGCAAAAAGAAAAAAAGCAAAATGTGTTGGCCCACTGGCCCCATCTACATGGTGGTTCCAGAAGAGATGCTGACAAGCCATAGGCAATCTTCAGACCACACCTTCACTCTTGTACTATAGGATCCTATTGTGATGTTACCTACAATTACACTATATAGTGTTTCCATCAAAGGCTGAGATCAAACTCTTAAGGGGCCCTCCTGCCTCCAAAGCTATCAAGTTTCACATCTGCCTACCTCTTTGAGTGAGATTAAGACCTAGAGGAAAGATGGTGAACAAACGTTAAGTAAAAGTGCCACTCTACATGCATTTGTCCGAAAGCATAATACACCCAGGTGTAATAAGATTAGACTTTTGTCAGCTGATTACAGCCAACCACAAGATTCTTACTGAGGCTTTTTAACCACTTTATTGAAAGGGAAAAAGCAGCATAACATTACAGAAATGGCAACAATTAAATACTTCCACTTTTAAGATCTCAAGAGCTTTTTTTATTCTTCTGATGACCATCCTTAGTTGAAGAAGAGATGCAATTCATCATTTACCAGATAATGAAGGAACTCCCACCCCAGTTGTTATGAATTTGCAGGGTTTTCCAAATATCTCCTTTTTCCCAAGCTTGGAGAAGGCCATTACCCTTCCTATTTATAAGTCAGTGCTTTAAAACCTGTCCTTCTAATCCCTTCTGTGAATAGCTGGGATGAAGTGGGTAAAATAATTCATACCAGTGATAACTGCAATCATCTTTAGCACCCTGATGCTTTTGGCAGCTCTCAGTTTCTCACTCTCTGCTAGCCCTCGTGGCTGGCTGTTTTATTTCTTCAGTCCCCAACCTGCTAACCTGAATCTGATCCAAAATAAAGGAGGCTTCTCCTGTTAACAGATTTTCTTTTCTGATTGCCAGAACCAGGAACGGTGGGACATCTGAGCTTCACGGAGATTCTGGACACTTCACTCAAGGTCAGCTGGCAAGAACCTGTTGAGAAAAACGGCATCATTATGGGCAAGTATCAGCAAGGAGCTATTAGAAAACACCTTGCAGAGAAAAGCTGGTGGGGGGAGCAGCCCTGTGAGTGTAGGAAAGGAAGGCTGGGGAAAATGCATTGTGCTGCTCAGGAAAGCCTGCATTTATGAAGAGCCTCTGCCTGAGAGAAAATGTAAGCTCTTGGCTTTTACTTCTCTGGAGCTGAAAAGTCTAAAGACTGGTTGGAGATCTTTGAGGACCAGTACCGCCATTTGACAATAATGGCCTCACCAAAAGCAGTCTGTGGATAAAGCTGTTCTACACCAGGTCTTTGAGCTTACTAAATATCATGTCTTTCCACCACCATACATACACACTTCAGTTTCTGCAACCCCTCAGATGTCACAATATGCTAAGATGTTGCCTTACTCTCCAAAATGAAAAAGAGCTTGTCAAGTTCCTTCTCTACTGAGCAAATATTCCATACACTTCTTTTGCAACATGATAGGACATAGGGTCAATGTTCCCTTCTATTTCTCTACTTTGTTTTGGTGAGATTCAGAATATAAAGCCATTCACTGTTCCATTATTGTTGGAACGTTGTAATACTGGACCTTTCTGCCACTTACTCTGGCAGAACCATCTAATGGTTTCACACATCTTGTATGTTGTAAGTATATTCTTCTTACTCACATTTAAGTTACAGTAAGCAATGGAAGAGGATATTAGCAAACTTTTGTTATTATGATAAATGAGCCTGAAATCCAAGGACAGAAAGATAGGAAAAGAGCTTATTTTGCATAATGGAGGTATTGATTCCACCTCCAGTGTATCCAGTTAAAAACAACGAAATAGAATAGATATGAGCTATGTTTCACCAGTCCACAATTTAGCTTCCTGCCTTTCCATGGAAACCAGAATGAATTTTTTCAACCATGGTTTTCAGGGTTTTAAAGATGGCAGAAGGTATAGGGTGATTTGGGGCTCTAGGTAAAGAGTTTTAGACATGGGAGTGGAAGCAGTTTACCTTCTGAAGGTCTTCTGTTCTCCTGTCTTAATTCCTCTCACTCAAAAAATGATTCCAAATCACCAGATGGAATGGGATGCTTAAGGGTGGAAAAGGGAAAGTAGCTTAGAGGCCCCTTCTCACTCCCATCCTTAATTTTGAAAAACACAAAATTACATCATGAAATGTGGCCATTTTGTTTGATCTCATGGTGCTGGGAGGTTGCAAGTGAGGACCTAGGGTTCTGTGCAGTGTGTCACCCACAGAGTTGACCACCATGGGCCACAGAGTCAGCAGGAGTGGAGAAAAGGCGCATTGGCCCACAAGTCATGCAGTGAAGAAATTCTGCAGTGGCTTAGATGTTCAGTAACTCAGGTAGAAAACTAATTCCATTGCCCCCCAAAGGGGATACCATGACCCTTTTTATTTCTGAAGTAATGTTGATCTAAGAATGTATCAGGCAAGCTTTGTAAGACAAAATTATTGGATCATCCACAGGGAGGATCAAAATCTGAAAGTTGCTGGTTGTGGCATCACAATCCAAGCTTGAATCATGATACTGCACCCACCATCTTGCAGACTTTGATCCCCTGCTATGGACACTGCTGGAAACCATCTCATACTATGAAGAACATTGCGTTTTAGGCTGAGAGATGGGAAGTGACAAAAATCATTCACTGCCTGCAAAGGTTTTGGTGGCTTGGATAATGCTGCTTAGAAAGCTAAGAATTCCTGGGAGATTCCTCTTTCATCACTTTGGCGATGAGATGTCATTTACTGTGTCTTTGTCTTTAAATCTAGTCCATGGAAAAAGAGGAAAGTACGAGGGCACCAGAGGGAACAAGCCAGTTTTTGGTAAATTGCCCATTGTAAATTTCAGTATCTTCCTCGTTCCCTCGATAAACTCTGATTTATGAGGGCCTGGATGCAGACGGACAGTTTGTGATTGGATATACTGCTCTCTCGTCCAGAATGTAGTCCAGATCAACAGAAAATTATTTCTGAAGCTCTTGAGGTCATTCGTTTCAGTTACACCGCAGCTTATGGAGAAGCTGCTAATGCCAGAGCATAAAGGAAAGCTACTTTGCTACTTACACTTGAGTAAGCCTGTTCTTCTCTGACTCTTCAGTACTTTTGGCCACCTACCTGTCACATTCAGTAACTTTTTAAAGTTAGATATTTTTTTTTCTCAAAAAGGGGAAAACGCTATTAGTTTGCCTTTCCAGATTCTTTTTATCTGCTTCATTTGTTGGGCACTGAGACTTCTTTTGTAGGCTTAGTTCTTCGTGTTAGTTCATGCATTCCGTTTTCCATCTTAAAAGCTTTTTCCTACTGATGTTTTTCTTGTAATATCAACAGATCCACTTGCTTGACTACATAGTGCCAGGGCATTTTTCCATGGTCACATGATGCTTCAGTAACTGCTTAAGCACTCTTGAACCTGATAGGGATCCTTAGGAAGGTTAAAAATGTAAGACACGTCTTCACCAGTGTATTCATAGATCCTGTGAAAAGAAGTGCATGAACCTGCAGTCCCATCTCACTCCTATTTATCATGACCCAACTCTTGGACAGGGAGACCCTTCATTACAAGTAATCTGCTGAATCCATGGAGCAAGTCAAAGAGATTGAAGGCATTGGCCATTCTGGTTGGAGCAAGATTCATGCAATCATCCTTTCAATGCAATGTTTGCAGCCTACACAACATTTGCAACCATAATTTTGATAGATTAAGGATCTCCATCTGGTCTGTCTTCTCCATTTGCCATCCGTTTGCATATTTTTGAGCTCTTCAGTCATGTTTGTAAACCGCCCAGAGTCGTTTCAACACGATGGCCAGTGACAAATTTGATATATAAATAAATTAATAAAATAAATAAATAAATAAATAAATAAATGTTCCCCATTATTTGCTCTCCCCCCCACCCAGATTTACAACATCTCCCCAAATAACCTTTCCTTGTGGGAAAATCACTCCAGCCTCTTGATCCTTTTGGTCTGTCCTTTTCTGCACCTCACTCCCAGAATGCCTGTCCTGTCTTGCCCGAGGCCTAATCACCAAGGAAGTTGCAATCAAGCCTATACTTTTCCCCTGGGCTCTCTGGCGGGGGCAGGGGGCTATCACTAGTAAGGTTCATAAAAGAGCTACAGGGCGAATGAAATTGTTACTAGGGGTTCAGAGACTGGGAGAGAGGAGGACAAGCAAAATCAGAAGCAAAATTGAGAAAATCAGGAACCCATGGAAGTTGATGGAAGCAGAGAGAAAGAAAGAGAGAAAGGCATTAATGGCTTGCCCAGGAGTCCACAATAGAAAAGCAAGGTAGAGGGTTAGGTCTTAAACACATCAGGATAATGGCTTTTCTTGACGTGGTTGAAATGACAAGATAAAATGATTCACCGTGCTTCCAAAGTCTGTGCTAGGGCAGCAACACAGAACAAAGACCTTTTCAGCTCTTTCAGATTTTGCAGCAGGTTTCCCTGGGCCAATTAGCATCTCATTTGCTTCCCTCAGTTTCTGACCCTCTTGCATCAGTGTTTCCCTTCCCCTACTTGTTGAATTACAGTATTTGGCAAAAAGATTGCCTTTTTTAAAAAAAATTAGGGTCTTCACTTGATTCTTTTTTTATGTTTTATGTCTTATGGTTGTGTCTGTCATATGGACATCTCTTGGAGAATGGAAACATTTAACCGATAAACCGAGGTGCACTTCATGTCTCTGGGTATGAGATAGGGCACATTTTGAGAAGTGGGCAGTTAAATCAGTTCTGAAGGGAAATGGAAGAGGATCAGGGCCACTCAGTAATTAAAAAAAGAGAGAGATTTTTGTTTGTCAGGCTTGGAGCTGGAAAAGAGGATGGTTACCCTCGGAAGTTGGAGAGGGGTGCGTGTGAACTTAGATGGGTTCTGAACTAGTCACTGGGGTGACTTGGATAAAAAGGGAAGACTTTTCTTGATGCCTGTGGGGGCCATTGAAGAGCTGAGGTCCAAGAGGTGAGGCCATACATCAGTAGTGGTAAGGTTACAAATACTGTTGAGAAGGATAAAGGCTTATCCATTTTTGAAGTTCCACAGATAGCAGACTGAAGAACTTGACAGAAGACTGGTTTCTGATAGTTGACCTCTCATTACTGAGCACATATACTGTATCTTTAAATGGAAGCGCTGTTCTCTTCAGCCGGAGTAATGAAAACACTAGGAACTCCTTACTTAGTTCTGGGAGGTGTCCATGACAGATGTTCAAGCCTCCAGAGGGAGAGCCTTTAGAAGAGGCTTCTGATAATATCTGCTTGGTTTCATTGCCCCCCCTTTTCCCCCCCTAGGCTACCAAATCTCCTGGGAGGTCTACAGCAGGAATGAATCTCGTCTTGCTCGCACTCTTGCTAACACAACCCTTGAGTACAAAATTACAGGCTTGTCATCTCTTACCACCTACACAATTGAAGTAGCAGCAATGACAGCAAAGGGAACCGGCTCGGTCACTTCATCTACCATCTCATCAGGAGTTCCCCCAGGTTAGTAAAGCAGCATTTGGAGAGGCCTAAGAAATACCAGCATTGCATTTAATTTAGCTTAATGTCCAGGGATTGTTCAGGATCACAGGGGCTACTTAGGAAAATAAAAATGAAAATAGGGTGGTTGGGTATTGTGCGATGCTGATATGAAGAAGTTGCAGCTGATGGACTGTCCCAACATGCAAGAACTGGGGACTTTTCAAGGTTAATGGAAGCCTCTTTTCCCACTGACTTTAAAGAGAGATTAAAGAAAAAGCAGCTAATTCTGGTACTTATGCTGGCATCTACATCTGTAGAAATGTCAACAGGAACCAAGGCTAGGAATCTAGCAAGCTGGATAAGGAGAGAGAAAAAAGGTAGACAAGGCTGGCCTATTCCACCCTCCTCCTGCCCCATGCAGGTGCATGAAAGGCCACCCAGCTTAAGGCTCCCACTACACTGGGCTCCTTCGTCTCAGTACAGCTTCTGAGCCTTGCACATACGTACAAAGAGCAGGACTCCAGCATCATGGATTAATTATTTAGCATGACCTTTGAAATTACACTTTAAGAAAAAGCTTTTGGGGCAATTCGGTTTCTGACTAAGGGTCACCTAGGTGGAGGTGCTGGCTTGCTAAGATACGAAAGGCCTTTCTGTATCCATAGTAAATCATTTTGGTTTACAAAACCATCTGGGAAATAATTGTGCAGCTTTCTAGTTGAGAGGCAATATGCTGGGGGGGCGGAGGCGGTGTACTTGTAAGCTTCCTAGAGGCTAGTGGTGGATCACTCTTTTGGAAAATGGATGGATTCTCAGGGCTCTGCTTATAGCCTGTCTTCAGTTCTGTAATGTAAAGTGGAGCGAACACTCCAAATACTGAGCAGTGTATTTATTCTTCTGCTCTGAGTTCTTGATCTTTCCGTCTTTTTATTTGACCTGTTGACTTCTGCAGAGCTTCCTGGTGCACCTTCCAATTTGGTCATCTCAAACATCAGCCCTCGGTCTGCAACCCTTCAGTTCCGGCCTGGATATGATGGAAAAACCTCTGTCTCTAAATGGATAGTGGAGGGCCAGGTATGCAAAACATTGATGTGTCCATTTGTAACCATCCTCATCAGTTAAGCAGCTCAAATTAATCAAATTAATTTGTAATTGGCTTCAGTTGCAAAGTAGGGAAGCACAGTTTGTTAAGAGATAGATTTCTAAAAACAAAAGAGTGTCAAATTCTTTCTATTGTTCCATGGATGCTTCTTTCACATGTGTATGTAGGAGGTGTCAAAGCTTTCCAGCTACAAATGATGTTTTCATTAAAATTAGAAATCATCTGATGTGTATGTTTTCCCTTTTGGGAAGAGGTTTCTACAGTTGGTGAGCTCCAGCTGTGTGTTGTTTGAAGTGTTTATGCATTCCATTTTTTGTTGATGTATTTTTTTTTATTTGCCATACTGTATTGGTTTGGGGATTTATTTGATGTATGCCACCTGGAGTTGTGATTATATGAGTTTGGTGGCTGTAGAAATCTTTTAAAGAAAGAGATTAATGAAATTAATGAACATTTTATCACAGAAACATTCTGTATTCTTGACTAGGTACCTGTTTTCTTTACCTACCATTTCCCTCTTACAGTAGAGTACCACTTCTGTATAATAATGCTCCTTGCGTACCCATTTCTGGTCTAAACTCAAGATGTTAATGGTTACCTTTCAATCCCATTATGATGTGGGACACAGATACTCTCCATTCTTTGTGATCACTTCAGTGGCCATTATCAAGGGAGAATGCCTGTTGAAATGCATCCACTAAAATGGACTGCAAAGACACGTATTTGTAACCAACGTACGTTTGATTTTATGAAGCTTACCCAACTGCTATACGGTTCACATTTTTTATTAGTTTAATAATGTTTTGGGGTTGTGTTTTGGAGTCTTAGTGTGTAATACATTTATTCCAACAGGAGTAAATGCCATCCTCTCAAGCCTGCTTCTCTTGCATGCCTTTAAGCCTCTCTGGACTTGTAGTTATCCTTTGCCTTTTTTTAAATGTTACCCCACTGGCAGACAATTTTTTATTCCATTCATGTGTGCCTGCCAGCAAATGGTTAACACTTCACCCATCTCTGTGTAACCCATGAAAGCTTATGCCAGAAGGAGGTGAACCCAGTGCCCTCCAGATGTTTTGCATTGCAAGGCACTTTTAACCTTATGTGTGTTAGTAGGATCACACATAAAATGGTCAACTCTCCAATGGAGCCTGAGGTTCTTTGCCCATTTATGTCTTTCATGCCAGCTTTCAGTTTAGAAAAGAAAGTTCTACCCTCTGAGTTCATGGGTCAGATAACGGAAAGCATATGCATCAAGTGTTGGTTTAGCTCCTCCATCCATGCTCATCTTTCTTTCCAGATTTACTTTTCTCTTTGGCTTGATTTAAGTTGCTTTTTAGAAAACTGCAGAGACCCGGAGTTGGGTTTTCTCAGGGATGGCTCTCCGTAATGCAAGAAGGTGGAAATCATCATCTCCAAAGTTGCCGTGCTGTGATTAATTAGGTCTTCAAGGGCAGCATATTGTACCATGTTTGATCTTGAAAACGGGTCCTCCCTACAAGCTTGTGAAAGATTTATACAGTCTCAAGAGAAATCAGAGTATAGGCTTACATCTGAAGAAAAGATCCTGTTTCCCAATAAATCTGTGCCTTTAATATCTACCTAAAAGAGCAGAAGTGAGAGAATCTCCAGGTTCAGCAGCTCTTTGGGTGTCTTCAGGAGAAAGTCACCACCATGTAAACTGCACGGGGGCCTCATTCAAAATCCAAATGGCTTAGATATTTATCTCCTCCTCAATGGAGGAATCCAAATTTAGATTCTATTATGGGAGTTTCTATGCTAAACAGAATGTCAGGGGGATTAAATTATGGGACCTGAAGAGCAGGACGGGATGATTTGCCTTTTACAATATGCTTCCAATCGTTTATGTGCCTGACTAGGTTGTTAACACTGTAGCCAGATAGGCAAGATATGAAAACTTTCAGGTCTTTGAGAAAAACTCTTCACTCTCCAGTCTCAAAAACGTCCCTCTTTGTTTCTATCATTGCTTTCTCCAGAAAAGAGCCATTTCTCCTGTTTTTTTCTGTCAGGCAAATTGAGCTCCTTCCTTCCCACCTGCAGATCCCTGTAAATAGCATCCATGGGTACTTCTAAGATTAAATATTGAGTCTTGCAACCAGCTTCTGCTGGCTGTTCTGCCGTGTTACGTGCAGACCATTCATGTGGTAACCAGGCTGCCCTTTCCTTTCCTTTTCTTCCCTCCTGTCTCTCTCATGTTCTCTCTCTGTTGATTTCTCTCTCACATACTCCATCCTTGGAGCTAAGCACCCTTGTCCCTGGTTTAGCTAATAATGCATAGTTCAGAGAACAGCTGAGGAACCAATTTCTAACCAGGCTTGCAGATCCTGCCTCAGCCAACCGTTGATAGATTCCCAGCATAAAAAAGAGATGTCCATGCATAAAAGGAAAGACAGCAACTCCGTAATATACACAGTTAATTTCTTGGTTGGTCAGAGCACTCTTGGAGATTTCCTGCAAGATGAGTATAGGAAGTAACAGCATTAACAGCGTTTTCTGTTTTTGCTTGGTTTTGAGGTGAGTAATTTTGGGGTGAGTGGTTGGGTGGAAATCCTTCCCACTCTAAGCAGTAGGAAGGAAGATGCTTAACCAAATGTTTGGAGGGCCTTCCCCAACCCATTCAGCCTATATGCCCCCTCCCCCACAAATTTGGATGTACCTAAGCTTTGGAAAGAGCAGGCCTCCAACGTCATTTAGTTCCTCAACTTTCAGAGGGGAGACTCAACACACATCCAAGTGTCCACTAAGTGAGGTGTTCTTCTCACGGCTTGACACCCACACATTTTCTCTGTCCCCTTTCTGTGTGTGATTCAAGATTTGAAAAAAAAACCAGGGAAGAATGCAAGAAATCTGCCATAAAATTCTTGAGCACAATGTTCTAATGAAACATCCAAGGCCGAGAGTCAATTTGATGTCAGGCTCATTTTAAATAATTGCACTTGCTTTGTTGAGCGGCTCAACATTAAATCCTCTGGGAGCAATTGTCTGTCTCTCCCTTGACTGAACTCTCCTCCTATTCTAGCTGCAACTTCTCCCTCTCAGCTGTGCCTTTTGCTTTCCCTTCTGTAGTTCAAAGCCTTTCAGCTCACTGTAACTCCTCAAATACAATCTTTGACTTTTGGCCTTAGCTGCCATTCCTTTGTGTTAGGGGAGCAGCACTATAACAGTTACCAAGTGACATCCTGATCCTCCTTTCTGATTTTTGTCCTTCTTGTTTATATTATCATATTGCTTGCAATAGTATTGGTTTGGAATCTGCCATAAACATCTGCATAGGATACTTTGATGTTAAGATTAATCACTCTTACAGAGCAATGGATTGGGGTAGCAACTGAAGACCCTGTAAAAAAAAAAAAAATCTCCAACTCATGCAACCCTTGCCTGAATGACTGAAACTGATATTCTCGATAGTGCAACCCAGTCTCACTTCAGCAGCTGCCTCTGGCGTGTTACAGCTTCAGTTCTCAAGCTCTTTGTTTCGCATCTCCGATTGTACTTTGCAAGGCCTCCGTTTTGGAGTTGGATTTTTCCTTTGTCATTCTAAATGGTTATGTCTGCAATATCCTTGGAAATTGCCTGTGGGTCACAGATTGAAAGCTTTTATTATGCTTCATTAGACAGGATCAAAATTGGCATCTGGGTGGGTGTTTTTTTTCAACAAGAAGAAGAGTTTTGTTCTAACTGTCATAACAGTTTTCAGTAGGGTCGTTTGTTTAGCTAATAAAAATAGAATTTTTGAAATGTAAAATGAAAATGTATTCAGTGTCCTGCAATGTAAAGAATAAATGAAAATGCTTCTGCCGTGATCCAGAGGCACCACCGTTCTTAAAAATATAACTCTCCCCGGGATTGTTCGCATTTTCTATTTTGTAGTCTGATACAGATTTATGGGTACAATATGCACAGGCTTCTAAAGCTTGGAAAACAGGTTTGATTGGTATCCCAAACCTCCCCCTTCATTTCAAATACAATTAAAAATAAGCATTGGTAAAATCTCCCAAATGTTAGCCGTCTAGTGAAAATTTCATGTGAGAACGCCAAAATCTAGTGGGATTTTGGGGGAATAGGAGCGGAATATGCCCTTCAGAAACTATGGTTGATCACTGATGAGAAGTAGCCATGTATAAAATTTGGCTCCTTCCCCTTAAAATCCTCAGAAGCTGCAGTCAGTAAAATACTAGATCCACGTTTCTATGTGTTTAGAATGGTCTAATCCCCCAGTCTTGATGTGGCTCTTCTTACATTTTATTTCACCAAGTCTAGGACCTTCTGGGTCCACCAAGAACTTCAATATCTAAAAATTCTCCTAAACATTCATAGAAAAATGAAAAAAAATGTTTAATATTTTTCTCATGGTACGTTATTTTGTCAATATACAAACCTGAATTTGGGGTCTGTTTTTAGTAATGAAAGATGGGTAATAAATTTTAGAAATGACTTTGGGGCAGTTCTTTTCTCTCAGCCCTAGGAAGAAAGCAATAGCAAGCCACTTCTGAAAACATTGCCAAGAAAACTGCCAGGACTTCTCCAAGCAGTTGCCAGGCATCAAGGCTGACTTGAAGTCACAAAATGATATAACTATAAAACAGGGTAGCCTTCCCCAAACTCTGTGTTTTCCAGCTGTGTGATTCAACTCCCAGAATTCTCAGCAATAGCTGTATTGGCTAGGGAAAACTGGAGAGCAGAAATTCATCTGTCTGGAGAACACAAGGGCTGAGGAAGGCTGAAATAGAGAGTGGGCTGAAATAAGGTGCCAGACCCTTAACTCTGTGGCATGGAGCACATGCTGCAATTCCTCTGAACGTGCTCAGGTTAAAAAGAGCAGTGCAAATCTGCAAGAAAGCAAAGGAAAGAGATCCATTTACCAGTAGGCTCGTGCATGTGAACTTCCATCGCCCTATTTGAGTAGAAAACATAAAGTAAGAATTATTCTTAAAGCCAATTCTCAGTGAGCCAA